AGGAAGTGGGTCCTATGGGAGGTGATTAGGTCATGAGGCTGGAGCCCTCATGAATGAGATTAGTGCTCTTATAAAAGAGACCCCAGAGAGCTCTCTCATCCCTTCCGCCATGTGCGGACACACTAAAAAGATGGTCATCTATGAACCAGGAAGCAGACTCTCACCAGACACCAAATCTTGCCAGCACCTTGGACTTCCCAGCCTCTAGAACTGTGGTAAATAAATGTTTGTTGTTTATAAGCCACCCGGTCTATGGTAGTCTGTTATAGCAGCCTGAATGGACTAAGTCAATCTCCACTTTCAAAACAAACTGCTTTAGCTTGGGGCCCAGCAAGGTTAGATGACTTGCAAAGAACATATGACTAGGATTAGCAGAAGCAGGATCTGAACACAGATAACACCTGGAGAATAACAGCTGTTGCTGCCCCCCGGCTGCCTTTCACTGTCTGCTGGGGAAATGGATTCAGGCAAATGAAAGCAAGATGAGAGAGAGAATGTGTGAGGGCTGTGAGGGATGCAGCCTTCTCGAGAAGAGATCAAGGAAGGAGGAGCAAGTCCTTGGGACTGGGGGACCTTGAGGACCAGAGTTTAAGCAGACCCTTGGCAGAGGAGTCAGACTCAATTGGCAGGGTGGGGGAAGGGCATCCAAGAGCCATTTTGCCACGTTGTTTCACAGCCATGTCCCTCATCCGCATCGCAGCTGCAGCTGTGCCTCATCCATGAGCTGACGACTCACACCCGTAATTCATTCATAAACATTTATTTCCATCTAAATCAGCAAATGAATGCATCTATTGGTGGCAGTGCACGCTCCTCTCAGGGCACCCATCCACTTCGAGGGTTGGCATGGGGAGGCTGGCCGTGGAGCTCTGACGGCCCTGTATGAGGGAATTAAGTGCCCCAAGCAGTTGCTTCATAGCCATTTCCAAGGTGGGAAATCAACATCATGGCCTGCAGTCTACAGATAAGGTTGGCCCGGGAGCTCTGCTTCGTCTAGCTTAGAAGCAAGATCGGACTTCCCTGTTAGGCGTATGTGTGGGAGACTCCCGTGGAGGGTGACAGTGATGATCATCATAACAATAATCGTCATAGCAGCTAACACTTATCAAGCACTTTTTATGTCCAGGGACTGTGCTAAGTATCAGAGAAATTCCATCTTCTCTTACTTAGGATTAGATTCTGAAGTCAGCGTGTGAGAGACTAAAACTTGTGTCTAGCCACAATTCCCCTTGATGGCCCCTGAAATTGTCCATAAAGTTCAGGGCACGTGGTCATGTATCCTTCTGAACAGTAGAATTATGTATAAATACGAACAGCATGATTTTGCCTAAATGTGTTTGTCAGTCCCTCTCCCACCTTACTCTCAGTCTGGGACTTTGAAAGCAGGGGTGAGTAGAGTTACCCAATTTTTAAAATTTTTATTTTTCTCTCATCCTCTCTTCTCCATCTCTCTCTTCCTCCTCTTTTTTCTCCCCTTCATCTTTTTGCCAAGCACATATATTTGAATTCCCCCAAGTTAAATGCTCATTTAATGCAACTCCATTCTCTCTCACTTCATGCTTACATACCCTTGACAGTAAAAAGCTATACTGTTACCATCGTATTCTCACAGTGGAGGATGCTAAGGCTCAGAGAAGTTCAGGCACGTGCCCGAGGCTGTACAGCTTGCAGACTGTAGAGCCAGGACATGAACCCTTAGGCAGGCTGACTGCAGAGCCTGTAAGCTGTCAGCTGGGAAGGCCAGAGAACTCGCCTTGAGGTTCCGCCGTCCCTCTTTCAAAGCCCACTTGGGCCCCATCAGCTGATTGCACTTGAGTGTCAGGCCCAACCAATGATCCAGCTGTTACCAACTTGGGCCTCACTTTTAAAAATAAGTGTTTCAACCAGTCCAGCCCTGAGATTTAATAGCCAATATTGTATGCACATTAAACACCAAATGATTGTTAACATATTTATTGAAGCTTAACAGGCATCCAGTATATAAAAGATGACTCTCTTCGATGGCTGTCAGACCTCAATAAACATGTTTAATAATTAATCGGCATTAAGCAAACATAATTGTGTGATTCTAAATTAAGTGTTCGGCAAAGCGTATTGTGAATGGAAAACCACAGTGGTGTTTTATTACTTAAAGTTCAAGCTATCAGTCTGGCTTCTCACATATCAAGAAAAGAGCCCTGCTTTCAAGGCCGTGTCACAGGCCTCCTGTTGCCTTATGCCAGAAAAGTCACGAGTCTTCTTATTCCAAGACCCTTTGATCTGAGAAATGGTTCTTATATGGTTACCTGTTTGTCCTTCTGTATATCTACCTGGGGTTCTGAAGTCCTAAGCCAAGAAATTGTGTGACATGAAAGATGTTTACACACATCAGCTTCCAGTAGAATTAACCGGTTCTGCCAGAAACTCCGTTCACCCCAAAACAGTTGATTCTTGTTATTTGCTGGTGTTAAATTCTCCAAAGCTGCTGTGAACGTGGAATTAGGGAATACTGAACCACTGCTTCTAGGGGAAATGCAGTATTGGGTTCCTGCAAGCCTCTGGTCATGACATTTTTGTCAACTGATCAATATGCAACCTTGACTTATGTGTGTTTCTGTTTAAAGTCACCTTTTTAAATGTATATTGTTGATTCTCACGGCCGTTAGCACTGTAACTCACACTCAAATGAAGCTTATCTAACACACCTATTTTCTTTGTAAGACACATCACAGCCTTCTTGTGCTTAGGAATACTAGACAGCACTTCAGCACTGTGTATGGGGGCCATTTTAAACAGCAAAACACCAGCAAAAAGCGCAAAATGTGAAAAAAGTGGCACTAAATGGACCACGAAAAAGGACACTTGTTCACAGTAGAGAGCTGAAACAAGAGGCAGAGCACTGCCCTGTTCAGCCTCAGCTGGAAACCTGGCTGTCAGATGATTCATGTTTTTCACAACTCTGCGCTTGTACACCCGTGTCCGCACATGATTTGAAAGCGCTGTGAGTCTAGATTTTGAGGTTATAAATAAATGTATGCATAGGCAAATTCATAAATACAGAATCTTTGAGTAATGCAGATCAACAGTAATCAGATTCCATTAAGCACAGCCTCCTATATACCTAAGTGTTGTATATCCTCTGCCAGATCTTTACAAGCCATTCCACTGCCTGGAACGTTGTCTGCACAATCCCAATGATGCTTTCCCTTGTATTTGGTGCACAATAAATATTTGTCCAATTCAATTGAGTAGTTTTCAAATAAGGACCCAAAATAGATGTCATTTGAAAATGCTCTTTACTTTTCTTTAGTCATCATTTCTTTCAAAGTTCATTGCTGTTATTTATTATTTCAATGTAGTTAATACCTTGACTTTTAACTTTCTGTCTCTCACCTGCCCTTAAATCCTTCAGAGATCTGAAAATACAGCCATTTTCTCACTGGCAACTAATCCCTTAAGACTCATGCAGGAACGAGGAAGAGCATGCCCCAAACAGGCACTTTTAGCTGGGTCGGATCCGTGTCACAGCAAAAAACTGTCCCCAGGAGTCATCCGTATATGAAGTCCATCTACACACACCCTATAGGGAGGTGTGGGAATCAGGCTTGCAACCTCTTTTTAGAAGAAGCGTCTGGAAGCAGTGCCATAATTTAAAAAGTCACTCTAATGGCAACCTGCTTGGCAGTGATGGACATGTAGGGGATGCTCTGGGACAATGGGAACTTCCTGGGGACTCTCACATAGCTCCCAATGTGGCCCTATCTGGAAGGTTTGGAGCTGCACATGGAGCTTGGCCCCGGAGTCTTGGGAAGCTACGGGTTCTGTAGGGATCCTTTGGAAAATTACATTTCTGAAGACTGGAATTTTATCCTTAGGGATTTTAAGACATATAAATAGAAGTATGTTATGAAAGTCACGCAGACTTATTTTAAAAGTTAGAAAACAGGGGCCCACCCGGTGGCGCAAGCTGGTAAGTGCGCGCGCTCCGCTGCGGCGGCCCAGGGTTCGCAGGTTCAGATCCCGGGCGCGCACCGACGCACCACTTGTCAAGCCATGCTGTGGCGGCGTCCCATATAAAGTGGAGGAAGATGGGCATGGATGTTAGCCCAGGGCCAGTCTTCCTCAGCAAAAAGAGGAGGATTGGCAGATGTTAGCTCAGGGCCGATCTTCCTCACAAAAAAAAGTTAGAAAACAAAGAACAGATAGCATACGCAGTCTCACCATCACCTAAACATATACATTTTAATATTTTGATATATTTGGTAACTTTTTTCTTTTGTGCGTGGGTTCTTAGTTTAATTTGAATCATACTGCACATAAAAGTTGGTATTCTGCTTTTTTTCCCACTTAACGTAGCATCCTAAACCTGTCTGTGGTATTACATAGTTCATATCACCTTCATTTCAAACAGCTGCAAAGTAGCCCACTGATCAATTGCATTATAGTTTGCTAACCATTCCACTGTTGTTAGGCATTGTTTCCAGTTTTTTTACTCTTTTTTATTAGTAACAGTACAATCTACTTTTTCTTTTTTCGTAAAGCTTGTCCATGTCTGGGATTATTCCTAGCCCAGACTGTCAAAAGTTAAGTTACTGGATCACTGGGTAGGGACATTTTTAAGACTCTTGGTAATCTAGCTTAATTGTTAAGAATATGGAAGTATTCCCATCTCAGCATTGTGTTATCATTTTTTAGTCTTTGCTAAGTTTAAAAGAAACCCAGAGTTTGTTTCCTCATTGCAAAGGTCGTCCACCTTCAAATGCACAGACCTGTGTTCCCATTAGCCTTATACCATGTGTGCATGCACATGTGTGTATGTGCATGCATGTACAAAATACTGTATATACTAAAATTTTTTTTTTAATTCATGATATTGGCAAGAAATGTCTTGTGCTTTTTCCCAGTATTTCTTGAAAAATCTTCTAAAACTTTCTGCCTAGTATGCTTGAATTTTTGTTTGGATCTATTCATTTTAACACGTGCTCTCTCTCTCTCTCCTTTTCGACGAATGGAAAATGCAGCTCTTGAGGATGACAATCGCCAAACAGAGGCTCGGAGACGAAGAAATCGGTGTGCGGCACTTTGCGGCCCATGAGCGTGAAGACTTGGTTCAGCAGCTGGAGAGAGCTAAGGAACAGGTTATTGCTAACATCCGTCAAGAGCGGGAGATGTGTTTGCACAGCTGGACACAGCACAGAGAAGAGTAGACTGTGCCCCCTCTTTCTCAGAGAGTGTGGGGTCCCGAGGATGCAAGTCAGAGGAGGAAAGAGGATACAAGTTGAATGCTTTTACCTCCTCGGTACTCTGATAGGTTCCCAAGCTGCCTCTTGTGTCTCTGGCTTCCAGCAGATCTGCTCTCTTACTTTGGGTACCATTGTTCTGAGCACAACAGGAAAATCCCCCCGCCCCAGCCAGGATAGACAGGGAGAGAACAAAACATTATGACAAACTGGCCTTAATTTGCAAGTTTCTGCTGAAATGCTGAGCGATGCTTTTTAGGTAAAATCTTAACCGGTACAGAGCCCTAGTTACATAACAGCTAAGAGAGCCTAGACTTTGTTTTCCTTCTCTTATTAAATGGTTTTGAAGAGCAGATCAAGATTTCTGGGTCTAGAGTGGTCTGAAGAGTATGCTTTTGTAGACACTGGCTCCTGTTCCCCCCGATGTCTGGATTTGCTCTCTCCGAGCCTCTGGCTTTAGGGTGCGCTGCAGTTGGTAAGGGGTCGCTTCTGTTTCCAGTCTGCTGCGCCCTTCCCATCTTAGATATAGTAAATCTGGCAGGAAGTCATACCCTTGCTTTTAGCTTTCATCATATTCTAGTGTGTGGTGCTTATAGTTTTATAGCATGCAGCAGTATTAATAAGCTCTGTAAAAGTCCGTCAGCCAAGCGGAAGTCTCCATCTCTAGCCATAAAACCAAGGTCTGAAGAACATCTTGAGTAAGGGCGCTTCCTTTGGTTTCAGATTGAGTCTCTGGAGCATGACCTGCAGGCCTCTGTGGATGAGCTTCAGGATGTTAAAGAAGAGCGGTCTTCCTACCAGGACAAAGTGGAGAGGCTCAACCAGGAGCTAAACCACATCCTGGGTGGGCACGAGAACCGCATCATTGACGTGGACGCCCTGTGTATGGAGAACAGGCAAGTGGCCAGACCCGGGGCGGGGGGTGGAATGCTGGCTCTCCACCGGCCTGCAGGCTGGGAGTTATTTGCAGCCCTATTTACATTTGAGAAAATTGCCTTACAATGAAAGAAAAGTCACAACCCCCAGATGATGATATTAACATCACGTATTAGTTGTAAAAGTCAGAAAAGAAGCACTACACGCCTACACACCTATACATGTTCCCCTTTCTCCCTTTCCCCCTACCCTCCCCAGCTGGGCGAGAAGGGTATGGAACCAGCGAAAGCGGCTTGTTATTGCTCTCAAGGAGAGAGAAAAGAATAAGAAAATAAATTGAGAAATTCCCTTAGCTGTTTCTTTTCCCCGAGGCAAATTTCAGTGTATGTGTCTAACTCAATGTTATGTCTGGTGTTGCTTCTTCCTGCCTTCCTTCCCCAGTGGAATCATCTTAATGAGAATTATGTGAAAACTGTGTTGATATCCCTTAGGGAGATCTCTGCAGAGGGCTGTTCTAAAGTGGGGTTTCTGTAATTTGGGCATATTTGACCTTGATCGCATCCATTTAGAAGAGGTCACTGAGATGCACTTTTCTCCTCCTCCGCCTGGTGCCGAGAAGGCATTCTGTGTAAAGACAGCTCTTCAGCCATGTAGTTTTGGTTTTTTTCCTCACCTACTAGAGTGTATGTTTTTTATTTTGCAGACACACTTTCTAGTTGCATGTATTCTTTTCCAGGTACCTTCAAGAGAGATTAAAGCAACTTCACGAAGAGGTCAACCTCTTGAAATCTAACATTGCCAAATATAAGGTAGAAAATCATGGGGACAATGGTGATGGTTCGCTACTGTTCTTCTAAATGTCATTCTATTTTAATTCTCTTTTATGTGCCAAAGAGATTTTAGTGCTTGCTTGCCCTCCCAGATAGAGTCCAATAAGAGCTTTAACTGAGATAACTGGTAAGAATTCACCCCAAAACAACAAACAAAAGCAAAACAGCTTTTGCAAGAGCTCCTGCTGTGGCTGTTATCTGGACAGGGCACACTGAAGCCACTAGAATCTGGACGTGGTCACCATACAACCTCGGTCCCTATGAAATTAGGTTTCTTATCCAGCTTTTCTGTGAAATGTTCTGCCATCCAATGCTGTTTGTCTCATAATCATCCCTAAGAAAATGGTTTCTGAGCGGCGAAGAAGCAAAGATTGGGAAATTGAGAAATCACAATCTGAACGAGCATGTTCACGTCACATGGAAAGGACAAGTTCTCCCCACTGTTATTTTGTCTAATTCCAGCACCATTAGTTTGATAATATCTATTTCTGCAGATGTCAGTTGTAAGTGTTATAATTAGAAAAGTCTCCTGGGTTTCTTTGCTTTGAAAATAGATTGATTTCTCTTCCTGGGGGTGAAGTTGTACAGCAGTCTAGATGCTTGGAGAACCTTCTCGTTTTCCTGGATTTTGACTGTCGGCTTTTTGCTTGGAAGTCTCTGTGCTGTTCTTCCTCCCCATTCTGTGGGGGCCACATGTTAGTGTACACCCGTCTATATATACACATGCAGCCAAAGAAGAATACAGCTTTTAAAGTTGTATAATTAATACATAACTTTTAAAAATGTGCGTATGCATTCATTTAACAACATTTATTCACTTCTTCCATGTGCCAAGCACCAGCTTCGTAGTACGTAGCAATGTTAATGTAAGGGTCTGTTTGAGAAATGACACTTAGGTGGCACATTTGCACTTCCTGAAACTTGTGTCCATGGCAGATATCACTAATGGATCATGCCTTATTTTCCTGTTCAGCCGTAGAATCCTTCCGAAAATCACGAAGGATCTTTTGGCATTGGTACATAAAAGTAAACCTTTTCTCCATCTCCTGTCTGCTTGAAAGAGGTTTCTGTACTAGTGACTTTACACATGAGACTGAATTCTTGCTTCGGATTTGATTTAATTTAACGAATATGAATTGAGTGCCTTTTATATATAGGAGACTGCGATTGCTGTCATTCTGCCGGGCACCAACTTTTTAGAAAACTCTTTACCAGGTCCATAAAAATCATAACTCTTTGGCAGGGACTCAGAATGCTAAAAGTTGGGTCAGTATTTGGAGTTTGCAAGGGGTTCTTGTGTGCTGGATGGGAAGATGCCTCTACTGTAACTAGGTATTTTTCTATTATTGGCTTTTCTGACAGAAGTTTTTATTTTCTCCCAATGCTGCTTTAGAATGCTCTGGAGAGACGGAAAAACTCAAAAGGCCAGGGTAAATCCAGCAGCAGTGCTCTGACTGGAGTCCTATCTGCAAAGCAAGGTAGGGTCGGTTCTCCAGGAGGGACCACTTATGAGCGTAGAATGCTAGAACTGTGAGCCCACATCCATCCAACCTGCTTGTTTGTGGATTGGGAACCGAGGTGATCCTTAGAACGTGGTTCCCAGACTTCTGCCTGCATCCGAATTGCCTGGAGGGGAGGGCTTGTTAAAATACAGATCTCTGGGCCCCACCCAGAGTTTCTGATTCAGTAGGTCTGGGGTGGGAGCAGACAGCATGCATTTCTAAAAGGGTCCCAGGTGACAGTGATGCTGGTTTGGGGACCCTGCTTTGAGAACTGCTGCCTTAGAGATTTTACTAATGACTGGACCCTGTTTGCGGATATTCCCATATACCGTGCACTCCTTTCAAGAATGTTTTCCCTTCTCTAATTACCAGTTTGGCATCTCCAAGTATGTGTTTCAAGCTCGTCGACTTTCTCCTTTTCCTGGCCCCCATGATCGGAATAGAAAAGTCTTACAGCTGCTGAAATCATTTTATCATGGAACATGTGCCTTTTTCAAAGAACCTTTTATTGATTGCAATTTTATTCCTCCTCCTTGTCGATTGCAATGAAAAATAATGATCTTCCAGGAACAGACCAGGGGATAAATCGCAAAGAGCTTGCTTCTGACACTTAATATTTGGGAATTCAGTTCCAAATGTAAGCCTCAAGTTGAACATGCTCGGCTGGCACACTTTTGGGCTGTTGGCAGTGCAGACCAGCAACGATCAGGTGGCAGTCTTAATCAGAGCTAGAGTGGCTTAAAAAAAAAGTGCTAAATCTTCAGCCTACCTAATAACCAAGGCACTTTTCCAAGCAACTTCTTTTTTCCACTCAACTAGAAAAGGACATCCTAGAATTGTTTTTTTTTTTAAATAATTTTATTTATTTATTTTTCCCCCAAAGCCCCAGTAGATAGTTGTATGTCATAGTTGCACATCCTTCTAGTTGCTGTATGTGGAACGCGGCCTCAGCATGGCTAGAGAAGCGGTGTGTCGGTGTGTGCCCGGGATCCGAACCTGGGCCGCCAGCAGCGGAGCGCGCGCACTTTACCGCTAAGCCACGGGGCCAGCCCCCTTGAATTGTTTTTAAAAAGAAAACTACAATACTCTATAAAAATGTGAAGTCACCCATCTAAATTTAGCTCTAGATACCCTTGGTAGCCCAACATCTTTGAATGTTGAGACCCAGTGTTATCACTACATGGGGAGTGCCAGCCACACTCAACCACCGTAGCAGAACAGTAAACCTGGCACAGCCTTTCTAGATCACCATTTGGCAACCTATTATGAAAAGCCTTAAACTGATCTCCTTTGAACCAGCAAAAAACAATTACAGACATTTGCAAATATTTTGCTTTAAGAAAGTTCTTCCTACATTAATTATAATAAAAAACATTGGAAACAACATGAACGTCCAGCAATGATTAAATAATTTGTTATCTGTCTACACCTGGACTATGAAGCAGCAATTACATTGTATGTTTTAGGAGATATTCATGATGAGAAAAAGGGTTAAGTGAAAAAAAATCACGGCTTTTTCCCAGTTTTAGAGAATAACGTATGAATTTGTATGTCTACATAGGTGTATAGGAAATGGCGTTCAAAGATATATAGTGAGAGATTTATACTATTTCTTTTCTTCTGTCTGGTAGGAGTACAAGTGGTTGTTGTCTTTCCGTGTTACCTCTTAGTTTATCTATCCTTTCTGAAAATGTGCATATGCAAAAATATTTCATAGTTTTATTATCTCCTAAATTATCTTGCTGTCCACTGAGGGTACCACACTGTGGGAAACTCTGATATAAAGCAGGGACCTCAGGGCTAGAGTCATTGTCACTTGCATGGGTGTGTGACCTGTAGCCAATATTTTTAATCTATCTGCACCTTGCTTTTCTGTCCATGAAATGGGAATAAATACTATTTCCCAGGTGGGTTTTTAAAAAAAAACTTTCAATCTCAAATGAGTTAGCCAGTATGAAGGTGTAAAATACTGGACAAATGCAAAAGATTATTATCCTTTTAAGAAATTGTTGATAAAAGTCCATGAGGACTTCCTCCTTTCTGTTTAACCCTCACACTGAGTTGTATTTTGTTTTACTTTTGACGCTGGAACTGAACTCTTCAATACAACATAGTTAACATTTAGAAGCTGGGAACCTATCATTATCCAGGAAGAACTGACGTGGGTTTGCATTCCAATGTTCCAGAAGGATGCAAGACTGAGCTGTAATTTTATATCCTACCTAGTTCAGGATCTGTTATCTGAGGATCACGGATGCAGCCTCCCAGCTACTCCACAGTCCGTTTCTGATCTGAAATCTCTGGCAACAGCCCTGTTGGAGACGATCCACGAGAAAAACATGGTCCTCCAGCACCAGAGGCAGACCAACAAGTAGGTGGCTGGACCTTTGGGTCAGGGGGTAGGCGGGAGAGAAGTGGGTCCGAGGCCACCAGCAGTGGGTGGAAATGGGTGGGACTAGAGGCCTTAAGGAAAGGAGATGAGAGCCCTCAAATCTGGAAGGAAACTTATCAAACCAGAACTGTGCTTCTGCCTTATGTTAGCATCTTGGCTATCAGCCGGAGCCAAGCAGGGAAGTAATACCAGACATTGCTGTTGAATGCTTATCTGAGCCACTCACTGAGTAATGCACAGGACATGGGCGATTTTGATAGTGTCATTGCCTGGGTAACTTAACCTACCTCTCCTCTAGGTCTCCCTTAGCGGAGGCACCTCCTCAGTGCCATTCTAACTGACAGCATGATTTTGAGGGGCTCTGAATGGCAGGAACACCCAAGTATCAGCTTCCACAGGCAGCTGGGCCTGAAGAAAGTGTCCTGTCTTCTAGATCCTGTCCTCTAGATCAGCAAAAAAAGGTGGTGGAAAGGAACAACACTTAAAACAGAATTCTTATTTGGTTTTTATAAACATATTGACTATGTTGGGCAAAACTAAGCCAGTTAAAGTAGCAGAAATGACAAAAACAAAATTGAAAGTGTTCAGAGAATGGTGAATAAACAATAAATTAAAGCAACAAACATTGCAATCAGAACTGGCTTCAAGGGCAAGTGACCCACACAGTTGCATAGGGCCCTGTGCTTGGAAGGGCCCTGCATTTGGTCTAATGCTCTGTTATTGCCATCTTGAAATTAATTATTTTTTAACAAGGGGGCCTTGCAAATGATATAGCTGGTCCTGCTTATAAGACCTACACCCGGAACCAAAATGAAAGTGTGGAAAAAGTGAGCAGGTGCCAAAATGCTGGGCTTCCAGCAAGAAGGGGAAGGCTCGGGGGCCTGGCGAGGCGGGGGCACAGGGAGAGGCAACTGGAAAGTGATTGAGAGTATTGTAAAAACAAAATAGAAAAAAGAGAAGCCCAGAGTAAAGGGAAGATCGAGCAGGAGATTAAGATATATATAAAAGAAGGCAGAGAGCAGTGGAGGGCGTCTGGGCAATCTTGGAGGGATGACAGGGGTAATTTATTGACAGAACAAGTTTTAAAAATGCTTTTAAAAGAAATCTTAACCAAGGAATGAAACAGCCAGATGCTGAAATGCAGATACTTCTCAGGGGAGGGAGAAGAAATGGAATCTCCCCAGAATAGGTATGACCTCTCTGTTATTCAGGCAGAATCCCCGCAGCCAGCAGTGTTCCCCATGAGCCTTCTTTGTCCTCCCCGACTCCTATAGACCACCCATCAGTGCTCTTTCAAACCTTCTCAGGTCTTCTAAACCCTGTCTGTTCTCAGCAGGTGACCCCAGCTCCTCTTTTACTGAGAAAACAGAAGCTACTCGTCAGGAGCCCCAAGACTTGCTGCTCCCCTGAAACCAGTGTCTTCCACCCTCTCTCTCCCTCCTGTCTCTGGGAAACACTCCGGCCCACCGTCCAGTCGGCCCACACCATCCTCCCTCTTCTGGGGCCTGGCTCCCCTAGGGCTTCCTATTTCAACTTCTGCCCCTCCTCTGGCTGCTGCCTCACAGATCTTCCTGAACCACCAAAGCCTTTCCTCAATTCTGCAGCTTCCCGTGAATTCCACTCACCTTGAAGCTTTGTAAACAGGAGGCCACCTCCACTTCTTCAACAGACACCCCCTCAAAGCGTTTTCTGGGGAGCACCTAGGTCAGAATTACGTGCATGGGGCGCTTGTTGAGAAATGCAGATTCAGGGGAGTGTTTTAGGAGGCAATGTCTGGATTCTGGATTTTAGCAAGCCCCTGGTCATGCCATGCACAGGAAAGAAAGATCATGTTGGCTTTGATACTTCCCAAGACCTCTTCCCGAATTTTCCATGGCAATCTTCCTTCAAAGGTCACCAGTACCCCCAAACCCTACTTTCTGAGTCTCCTTCATTTATAATTTCTCTACATCTCGATTTCCGTCTTGAAACCCATCTTCCTGGATTCTTCCGACTTTCTCCACTGTCTTATTCCCTTTTCCCCCATCCCTTCCGCCCCAGCCCCGCCATCTTCTCTTTGTTCTTTGCTCTTCTTACCCCACGGGGGGACCTCATTCCCCTCTGTCTTTGCCTCTCCTTCTCTGCAGACTCTTCTCAGAACTCTTGTCTCCAGCTCGCCATCAAGAGCAAGACCCACATTTCTAACTGCTAGGTCGACAGTTTCCCCTGATATCCCTTTAGCCCCTCAAATTCAGCAAGTCTAGAGTCTGGACCATCCATTCCTTAGTACATTTTAAGACACTTTAAAATGCTTGTGCCCTTTGACCCAGGTGGTCTGCTTCTAGGAATTTATCCTAATGAAAAAAATCAGAATGATGTCCTAATTTATACGTAAGGTGGTGGTTCATTGTGGATTCGTTTATGAGTGAAAAAAATGGAAACAACCCAAATGTTTTTAAGTTGGAGAATGGTTAAGATTATAGTAAATCTGTAAGGTAGACTATTATGCAGCCATTAAAAGCATGATTTGAAGAATATTTAATGGGCTCTGCCCACCGTCTTAATACTCAGGTTCAACAAACCTCCATGTTACTTGGGTTGAAGCTCTTCCTCGGGCCAGAATGCTTGTCCATTCTGGTCACTGTTCTCTCTCAGTGTGTAGGACAGTGCTGGGCCCACGGTGGGCACTCATGATTATTTGGTGAATGGGTGATTGAATCTTCTAACCCTTTGTTCCTGTTCCCTTAATACTCACATCCCAATGGTCATTAAGCTTTATGGTTTTCATGCACTCATTTATTCAGTGTATATTTCCTGAGTGCTTCCCATGGGCCCTCAGTGTACATCTGCTACCTGCCCCATCTACTTTCTTCCCACCAGACCTCCCATCAATCCTCCATCCTCAGATCCCAGCACCCCCCATCCTCCCGCCCAGACCTCCCCAGGCACTGTCACATCCACCTGCCAGCTACAGTTCTGATCATGTCACAGGCCATCACAGGCCGGGCTGAGCCCACTGCCTGCCAAACTCAGTATCCCCAAGCTGTCGGCCTGACACTTGCACCTCTTGTGACAGACTGATGTTCTACCTTGTTCCTATCATACCCCACTGCAATCACACACATCCCCAGGTTCCGTGGGCTCTGCTCATCGTCTATTGAGAAAAACATTTTCATTTTGCCTGGTTTATTTTTGTTTTGATGCACCTTTCCATTTTTAACTGTTATTTAATAATTTTGAACCATGTCATGGTTCAAATTTTAAAAGATTAAACAACAATATATCTCCAATTATCTCTCAGCCACCCAATTCCCTGTCCTAGAATAAACCACCATTCCTCATTTCTTATGTAACCTTCCCAAGGATGCATATATAAGCAAATGCATAGTACATTTCTATAGATACACATATAGATATTCTTTTCTCTTGTTTTTTTTTTACAAATAGTAGCTAGTATTCACCAAAAAAAATAGTTTTTTTCATTGTTCTGCACCTTGCTTTCTTCCCCTCATAATAATAGATCTTGAAGATTGCTTCATATCAGTACATAAAGTACCTAATGTGCCATTTTTAATACTTAGAAGGTCTTAAGTTTCATACTTTCAATAAATGTTTTATTTGGGGGCATGTTAAGAAACTAATTATACAACCCATGGAGTGGGATCTAAGAATAGAATGTGAAGTTGGTCTGCTTGCTGTTATCCCCCATAATCTAGCTTTTGTAACTAAAATAATAGAATAGCTTTGTTTGGGTGGAGCATTGCAAGTAGGAATAAAGGTATTCTGTTCTGTAAGCATGTGCTCCCCCTGCTGGTTTTCCACTGCCTAGCAGTTACTCCCCTTTGAGAAGGCCCAATGGGAGCCATCTTGAAGAACTGATGAATAAACCTAGGACTTTACATTTTGAGAGGATGTTCAATTAATAGGCATTTTGCTTGAGGTACTTGTTGCCAAAGAGTTGGCAGTTGTCTGGTATTGCTAAAGAAGGGATGAGGTTCGTTTGTCTTATAAACAGGTGGCAAAGGGTTAATAGAAGAGGCGGATGTTAAAGTACTGTTTCACTGAATACCACATTTAGTTCTCCAGTTTTTCCCAACAAGCCCCCCTTAGCCAGTGGTGGGGCGGTGATGGCGGTGGTGAACACATGAGGACTTATTGGCCTTTTGTTCTCCTTCCCGTTGTGCCTAAAACTGTCTGCTGCTCTTCTCCTTCCCTGGCCAATGGTAAATAGCTTGGAAGTTCAAGATCTTGGTAGCACCCTGAGCTGTCATGGGTCAAAGCAGAGATTCAAAAGAAGGCCAACTGTGGTGAAGCAAGGGTTATCTCCAGGTCCATGTGGAGCCACGGCCACCTCTTCCTTTTTGGGATCAGGCTCTCCCCAAGGACCCTCACTCAGGGATTCCTCCTCCCTGGGTTGTCCCGAGAGCAAGGACGGAGGCACCGTGGTGGCCAGTTCCTGAGTTAGTTCCATCTTTGCAGATCCCCTATGATGTTATTATTATCAGAAACTACTACTGAAAATCTGTCTAGAAGCTTGTTGTCTTGAGGATTTTCCCAGACTACGAGGTAGACATATGCTGAAGTCTCCCCATCTGAAGACAAACCATAGTTAAATAAAAACTTTATTTTAAAATCTCCCCTATGCTACAAAAAACAAAAGTAAAATCCTCTCTCAAGCCTGTTTATGCCTCAAGCTACTGCCCTCGCTGTCTCCTTGGATTCCCTGCTGAACTACTTGAAGAGTCATCTATATTCACTGCCTCAACTTTCTAGTAGTCTGCTTTTCTCAACCCTGTCACTTGGATTCTGAATTTCACCCCTTCCACTGTCCTGAAACATCTCTCTCAAGGGTCAGGCACATCTTCTAAGTAGGCTTTTTCCTTCTGTGTGACTACTTTCTAGAATAAGACAATACTGCCCACGCAGTCCCAACCGTAACTCTCTCTCCCCTCGGCTTCCGGGCCCCACATTGCCCTGGCTCTCTTCCTCTGTCTCCAACTGTGCTTCTGCAGTCCTTTCTTGCCTTACACAGGAGGGACTCTAGTCCCTGTTCTTCTGACTTCTCTCACTCTGTTGGTGAGTGGGCCCACCCCCCAGCCCACACTCTCATCTCTGCACTCCCACATCTTTCCTTCCTCCCATGGGTCCAGCTGTCTACCTGGATACCTGTAGGCACCTCAAACTCCTCACCTATCTCCTTCTTATTGCCCATTCCCTTGGCTTCCCCACACCCCACTGGCTGAGTTTGGCCACCACATCACTGACCTGGACGATATCCTTCTAACTGGTCTTTCTGCTTCTACTCACACTCCTTCCAGTCCATTCTCAACTCTGCATCAAGAATGCATTTCCTAAACTGCACTATGCTGCTTCTCTGCTTCAAACCCTTCAATGTATAAAAGTCTGAACATTCTCAACATGGTAACAAGATCATTCATCGTTGGGGTCCCTGGAAACCATCTTCCATTTTCTCTTCACTTCTGCTCTATCGTCTTCTGCTGAAGGTCTTGTGTGTTTCCAGAGCCCGGTTTTGATTCTGGCCTCTCTGCTCACCAGCTGTGTCACCCTGGGCAGGTTAGCTGACCTCTCTGAGACTCACTTCCCTCATCTATAAAACTAGGATAATAAGAGCTGCCTCGTTGGTTGTTGCAAGAGGCTAAGGGAAATAATATCTGTGCAGTGCTTAGAATAATGCCTGGTGTGGAACAAGTGATTAATAAATATCAACTGCTATTAAAGCCTCCCACTGGCATTGTACGTGTGTATGTGTCTGTGTATACCCATCTGTCTGCGTCTCCCGCCAGACTTTTAGTCCCTGAAATACAAGGACAGGGCCTGCTTCTCTTCGTTATCCCCTACAGCCTCAATAATCATTTGTTGAATTAGTCAAACTGAATTGAACGGACTCTGTTCCTACTACTACCATCTCCATCTATGAATACTGCCAGCGGTTAAGACTCAAATAGCCCTCTTCTCTCCCTGGGCTGCATCACGCCACGTTCACTGAACCACCTGCCATATTCATTCGGTGCAAAACCAGGCAGGAGGTCCCTCTTTGTCATTTGAAGCATCTTGGGTTATATTTTGCAAGTCAGCTGTGGCTTCATCCATATTTCAATTATGAACGGTTTTTAAAGAGTACTTGCTCCAGGCATGAGAATGCTTGTTTTAAAGTGTTATTATGGGATATTGGTTAAGAACGTGCACTTAAGAGGCAAACTGAAGTGTAGGTTCAAATCCACACTCATCACTAGCTGAGTCCTGCATGCAGTTTTGGTCAAGTAAACTAACCTCCATGCCTCTGTTTACTAAGGGAAAGAGTAGAGGGTGGTGGGTGAGAGCACTGGGGGTTGAGAAAAGACACAGCTTTGAGATGAACTGTGTGTCCTTGGGCAAGTTGCTTAACCTCTCTGTTCCTCAGGGTCCACATGTGTAAACAGAGGATAATAATACAGTGTATACTGCAGAGATTTTATCAAGTCAGGTGAGATCATGCAAGTTTGGTATGTACTCAGCATGGGCTCCGACTCATACCCAGGACTTAGGAAAGCTTAGATGCTGTTTGTCTTAACAGTAGTGTGGTGCTGTTGTTATTGATGTGTTATTGCTGTCATTCCTACTACTACAACTTCTACTGGGTCCCTTTTACTACCTTCATCCCTGCATCAGATGCCTGTGTCAGGCCAAAGAAGAAAACAGTCATCACTGACAAGCTTAGGCAGGATCCCTCAAAGTAGAGTGCTGGGGACACCAGCAAATTCACCTCAGTCCGTTTCTGGGAGACAGGGCTGTGTTGTCCAGGAACATCAGAAAAAATACAACCAAACGTCTCTTCACCACGCCTTTGAACACTGCCCTGATGGCCTCCTTCAGCGTCCACAGAAGAGTTAAGCCTCATCTTTTGTTTCCAAGAGGCAACCATGTACAGATGATCTGATCTCATTAAGAAACAGGCATCAACTTGAACACCGCTGTGATTGCATCTCAAACCCATCAGCTGGTGAAAAGGGAGCTCGGATCAGGAGGTCTGAGCAAAATATTGAAAGCGAGATTACGAATAATGGTGTTTATTGAAGGGTCAGAGACATGACAGCAGAATAGACCCAACAAATGGAGTGAAAATTGAAAGTAATTGATAAAGACTATGCAGAGTTTAAGACTTAAGGGAAAGAAGAAAAGAAAAGCTCTAAGTACCTAGATGAAGAAAACCACATATAGTAACGTCAAAGAGTTTTCTGTGAACTCAAAGGGAATATTAATTAAGACGCTGCAAGTCAATTCAGGTAAAATAAGGAGGAATCCACAGCCATATATATATGTGCAGATAAATACATATTCATATCTCTGTATGTCTGTGGGTGGGAGCAGCTATCTCTGGAATATAAAGCGAGGTAGGAGAACAATTCTGGTGTTCTGATTTCTCCTGCTGAAAGGAATTGAAACTTTGCTATTAAGGTGATTTCCACATCATTTTAGCACAGCAGTGCCAAGAAAATCCCCCAAATAATATAAAGACTGGTTCTTCAATTTCCAGGCCAGTGGAAAGTGATTGAAGTTTTAGATGACTATCAAATCATTTCCCAACTATATTTAATTTCATGTAGAGTGAAGGAGGGGAAATATTGCCCATATTTATGTCTTTCCACGCGTATAGACAAAGTTCGGCTTCTGAGTAAACAGTGTAATCTTTTCAAATACGCGTGCCAGAACTTACATGTCATGGTGAGTCAGAATGGTCACCTTGAAAAGCAATATAATTATTCTAGTGATTCTGCAATTAGTGAAAGTTCTTTTGAAATGTGTATTTTTTAATTCTCTCCGTAGATAATCACAAGCCATAGAAAAAAGGAAAGCATTTATTTAATCAAATCTGTTTATTGAACACCTACCATCCACCAGGCATTATGCTAGATATCAAGGATATGGACATCAGTCAGTAACACACAGGTTAGGTCTGAGAAGGCAGATCTTGTTATTTTACTGACTCAGAGTAACATTGCCAAGCATATTCACTCATCTTATTTGTTAGACTTGGTTGTGTCCAAAACTCCGATCCATCCTCAAAGAATCAAGGTGTGATACTACTAAGGCTATTCAAAATTAATTGTCATCTTTAACAATGAGCAATTCCCAAATAGAAATTCTGTAAGACATTTGGGCAATGGTGGAATAATTGTTTAGCTTCACAGGGGAACCACCTTTGTGGGAGAGGGCAACATTTTAGTATTTTTTTAATCATTCACTTTACCTTTTCATATGTATTTTCAATAGAATATATATATATTATTTACACACACACACACACACACACACACACTTCATTTTTAGCATAGATCTTAAATCTCAAAACATTTTCTCTCTTTTAGGACACAAGTATGTTTCCCTAGTAGCCTGCTCACAGCCCTGAGAGCTGATGAGATGCTCATTAATCCATCTGCTGTCATTTTCTTTTCCAGAATCCTAGGGAATCGAGTGGCTGAACTGGAGAAAAAATTAAGAACTCTTGAAGTTTCTGGTTTGTGGAGTCTTCCAGGTAAGCAGAACTTCATGAAAATCATGTTCCTTTTTTTAAAAAAGGAAGCTCTCATATGATTTGCAAAGAAGATTCTACCTTTTTAATGTCCTTTTATTTGAAGATCATTGGTGAGAAATCTATAAGTGTTTTAAAATTAGAAACCATCATTTTGGAAGGAAATCGGGAAAATACAATAAATAGGCAGGTTCTCATCAGTGGAACTGTGAAGTTTTGGTAACCTAAATTCTGAAATTGTCATTGTGTGTGTCTGTATATGTATTTTGTTTTAACTTTTGTGAATACAGTAAATTGTTTTATTTTTTTTACTCATAGGTGTCTTATAAAGGTTTGTTCAGTTTACTCATCATCCCTACAAATGAAAGTAAGAATGTACAGTCATGCGTTGCTTAACAATGGGGATACATTCTGAGAAATGCATCGTTAGGCGATTTCGTCATTGTGTGAACATCATAGAGTGTACTTACACAAACCTATATGGTATAGCCTACTACACACCTAGGCTATATGATACTAATCTCATGGGACCACCATTGTCTATGCAGTCCATTGTTGACTGAAACATTGTTATGTGGCACATGACTATACAAAGATTTATTCAATTTATTCACCAATCGTAAAAATGAATATAAGAACTTATAAAGATTTGTTCTATTTAATCATCAGTTCTAAAAATGAATATAAGAAAAACACAATTGTTCTAACCCCAATGCATTTTAAAGATTTTATTTATTTATTTTTCCCCCAAAGCCCCAGTACATAGTTGTCTGTCATAGCTGCACATCCTTCTAGTTGCTGTATGTGGGACGCGGCCTCAGCATGGCTGGAGGAGTGGTGCCTCGGTGCGCACCCGGGATCCGAACCCGGGCCGCCGGCAGCGGAGCGCACGCACTTAACCGCTAAGCCACGGGGCCGGCCCCCCAATGCATTTTACAACCTCCTTCTCTTCTCTTCCCCCATGCCATTTTTTATGTGGCTTGAAAATCAAAATTTCCTGTGGAGATTTTTTTCACAGTTGTACATGGTGTGAGGAAACTCTGACTTTCCCTTTAATTAGCTATTTTTATCCTGTTTGTCTTGGTAAAATACCCCCTTCCTGAGACCCCCATCAGCTTTTCCCCTTTATCTCTACACTCTCCAGGAACTTGTATTTATCATTGTCCACCACCTCCTCTTTCCCTGGAAGCAACGTTGTACATATATTTTTAGTTACTTAACCTTTCTGCACCAACCAGTCTCCTCTACCCTTGAATCATTTCAGTTGCTGCCCTGTAACGTATGAGAAATGAAAATTGCCACAGGGATGTAGACAACAACGTGTTTTCTTAATGTAATCTGAGTAGCCACCTTCAGTTGCCTGGAATTGCGTTTCATAAATTGGAATTTTTAGCAGATTCCTTGAACTTGATGTCAAAAGACCGAACAGAACTAATTAGTGGCGAGTGCCATCCTGGGGATTTGAATGATCCATTTTGCACAAGAACATTTTGATGCGGTAAAACCTTATCTTCTTTGAAGGCCTTTCTTTTATTGCATTGAATTTCAACACAGTCAGGCAAATTTACCGTTTATTTGTGCAGTGAGATTGCTATTTCTGTACATGTACTGGAGTTTTGATTTTTTTTTAATCTCCAAATGACTTAGTGAAATTTCACAATGTTTTATTTCTACAACTTATGTAAAAAGATGGAAGTTGAATAAGTGAAGGAATGCTGAGAATTTTCTTTCTCTGGTGTTGTTTGGTCTAGATTAGAATGGCTATTATGCAATAACAATTGTTTCTTTCCTTCTTTTTGCTGCCTGAAGGCCTGAGCTACAATGTTTCAGTAGGATTTGGGAGTATGTTCTATTTGAAATATCTGTGTTTGTGACTAATATCAGCAGTGCACTAATATCATCCCTGCATGGAAATAAATAGAAATGCATTCTCTGTGTATCCTTGCACTTTTGTGATTAGAAGTCAATTGAAATAGAGAATTCAATTACTACAAAGCAAATATTAAATGGTAAAATTAGCTTTGAGGGACCCGGCTGCCTGGATTTTATGCCATGGCTATGTTTGTTTTAATCTCTGGGCTCCACATAGATACAAAGTGGGAGGACAGGGAAAAGAGTGGCAATTCCCCATATCTGATACAGTTTATGTAAGGACAATAGCATTGCCCTGGTACAGTGATGAAGGATGTTACAATGAGGCATTGCCTTATGATCATTTCCAAACCATGGTGGGGGGAGAGGGGAACCTCTTCAGGTGTGAATGAGACCAGTCCCTTCTGTCTGCTCCTTGTTTTATGGTCTCTATTTAACCTACCGAATAGGGGAGCAAGAGGAAGTATGTTCTTTTCTCCTTCGTTCCTCCCTCTCTTCCTCCCTCCCTTCCTCTTCCTCCTCTTCTACGTTTTCCTCCTCTTCTTCCTCTTCCTGTTTCTCTCTCCAAGTAGAAGCCAAATCATAGTGTTTCAGCCAATTGGAGGGGATTGAGTCCCAGTGGTTTCAGAGAATTGCTAGCTCTCTCATATTTACCAGCATCTTGAAAAGGATCAGTGCCTCCTCCAATAAGTCAGTCCATCAAAACATTGATACCTTTTTGAGCACCAACTTTGTGAATTCAGTTCTGTCCCAGGACTCGCCCCCTCCAAGAATCCCCAGTCCCATTAGGGAAGCAAGATGAATAGGTATCAAGCAGTGAGGGGAAAGCACAAATGATACATAATTAAGTGCTGAGTGATAAAGATGTTAGCGTGTGAGGGAATATGTGATGAGTCATTGAATGCTAGACCTGGAAGGATAGTTGAGAGCAAAACATTCCAGGCTGGCAGATACCTGGTATATATTGCACAACACCAGTTTCTTTGCCAGTGGCAGACATTGCTAATCAATCACATCTCTCTTCCTTGCTGATCTCAGATGTGGCCCTCAGAACACTTTTCCACATTGGCTTTCCAGGAAGCCACCTCCTGGTCGGAGTTGACATGTGAAAGAAAACATTTTCCCCTTTCCTGATCTTGTCTGACCCCCTCATTTTAGGTAAGGAACCAGAGCCCAGGAAGTTAGCTGATACCTAAGGCTACAGAGGCTGGTGTCAGAACGCAGGTGTTCAGATCTTCATTTCAGTGTACCACCTGTACTGGGGAACAACAGTTCAGAGAAGAGAGAGATGAGGTGGACCAGATCTGCTGGGGACTGGTTCTCAAAGCAAATTGGGTTGGAGAAGAGGAATTCAGAAGCCAGAACAATCTCTTCTGAGACTCTAAAAGATGATGGTGGAGGAGCCCACCCCTCATTCCTACAAGGCAGAATTATTGCTGGACTTGGAGCATGCTATGATTTTTCTTTGACTCTCTTCTCCCTCCCTCCTCACTCTCTCAGCCACAATATATAGCTCTTGATGTTGTTTGATAGAGTTGGGGCAAATTTCTGATCTTGCTGGGAAGTACCCAAGTTTGGCAAATGCCACAGCCTGCATGAAGAAATGGTTTGGATAGCAAAGCGTATTCCAAACTGTTGACCCAGTCCCTGAGAGGTGGAGAAAGTGTGGGGCTATTGGGAGGAAGCCAGAGGATGGGCCGGGTAGACCACGCCCCTCAGGGAGGAATGGCCCTCCTCCCTCCCCAGCTCCCTCCCTACCAGCTTCATTCACCCAGCCCTTTACTGGCTTCTGCAGGGAGAACGGTGCTGGGGGCGCTTTGAGGGGAGGTTTCCTGGATGTGCTCATGCTCTAAAAAGAGACACCGAAAGCCAGAATAAAAGTCTGGCAAGAGAAGAGCCTGACGCTTTGAGTTTTCATTTTAATTCTCTTCTCCACTCTAAGCATCATCCTGAGAGGAAAATGTCCATTTTGAAAGTACTTGGTACATTTTGGAGAAGAGATGAGGATGTCGTTTTTCAGAGAATTGTGGGGCTTCCAGAAACTCAAACACCAGTTGAATGGAAGCGCCTGTGTCACCTTCTACACTAGTTGTGGTTTGACTGGTGTGTGGATCACCCTCACCCCACTCCTCATCCTCCAGTTCTAAGAACCGAAATGAAACTATGAAACAGCAAATCATCAGACCAGAGCTCAGTTTAGTCAACACAGATGGAATCTGAGCTGAGTTAGAAACAATAGAACTAAGAGCCTTCTAAGGAAGGTCTTCGAATCCTTCAACTATTTTGCAAGAATGACCAAATCTTGGCATTTTATCTTAAGATTAGGAAATGATCTCTCCAGGCAGAAATTTCAGGAGATATTTATCTTCTCCCCAACTCTCACCCTGATTGGACTTGGATGAGTGGTGGCTTCTATTTCCCTTCTCTACATGCTTGTTGCTCAGATTCTCAGAAAGATTGAATGTTGCTGGTACCAGCATCTTTGAGGAGCCGTTGTGAATGGATGATGCCCTATGGTTGGAGAGGGTCACGGAGACATTCCGCCTTAAGGAATACCTCATGACAGGAAGGGCAGAGGATCTCCCTCAGGCTGCCTTAGTCACTGGGCTGCAGCCAGCTCCCAACTCTGCCCATAATTCTGATTCTTTGGCCACCAGGGCAGAGGGGACTTGGAAGGCTGAGTGGGACACTGAGGGGCAGAGTGTGTCTGTCTCTGAGTCCCCTTAAGGCTAGAGAGCTGCCAGCCTACCTGCTAGAGAGAGATGGGTCAAGAAAAGCAGTCCTGTCCCTGACTTGAGAACGGTAACTATTGCCTTGGTGGAGAGAAACAGAAGAAGTCTGCTCTGAGGCGTCTGCTCTCTGTTCATGATAACTGCTAATCCCTCAAGGTGTTTCCAGATTGTATCTTTGCAGCACAAAGGGAGACCTGATTGCATTGACTTCGTTCTGAGAGCCCTGTAACAGTATCCCAACCTGTAGATCAATGGTTCTCTTTGGGAAACCTCTCCAGACTGTGGCCCTGAAGATTTCTGGATTTTTTCCACGTGAGACAATAGCTGTGCTGGCGGAGAACTTCAGGGTCGGCTCCTATTGGATTTCTATTCTTCTGGGATGACCCTCAGATAGCAGAGAAACCAGAGTGCTGTGGCTGCTAATAACATACTCCGTCTGCCTGAGGCAGCAGCAAGCACTGTGCCCACCAAGGCATCAGGATTCCCAAGAATGTGCCAGCCATTTAGTCAGACATTTATCAGATATTTATTAAGCATCTACCATGTGCCAAACTCCCTACTACATTCTTGGAAATCAAGTTAATAAGACATGGCCTAATGGGAAGACAGTATTATAAACAGATAGAGGGCTCAGAGGTACAGTGCAAGGGTCACCTGGTTCTCCAAAGGAGGAGTGGACGTCTACACAAATACCATTCTGTGCTCTGCCGAGCCTGAAACTGAGTAAAATCATCAACTTTAGAGCCTCTGACCTGAGCCCCCGAGATTTTTAGTGACTTGGCTTTAGAAGCTAAGGCTGGAGCGTAGGCTGGGCCCATGGCCCCTGGGGTTTTCGTTTTTGTCGTAGTGGTTCCCACCAAGAGAAGCCCAAGGGCTCATGGACAGAAGATTGGGATCAAGTCTTGCCTGTTGGGCTCTCCTGACCACTGGGGCAGCTTCACTTTGTGTCCACATGTTTTGTGTCTGTGTGTCTGTGTTCATCATGTACATGTTGCGAAGCCACACTTCCTTGCTCCTCACCTCCATAACTTGCCAGGGCCTCAAAAATAGAGTTGTAATGGTATTCATTTCCTCCTCCTCTTTGCCTCACACTTTCTCTATCCCCTTAGGGAGTTCATATGAATAGATAAAAGGGTTTGGTTGGTATGGGACTGTATGTTCTAAAGTGAAATTTAGCTGTGATAATTTGGGAGACCTGATACTATCTGCCTTATGACGGAGTTATTATTCAGTCTAAATGACCAAATCAAGTTAAATCAGATATGGTGTGTACGGCAGTGCTATCTACACTGTAAAGTAATCATTTCAGTAGACAACATTTACTGAGTGCTGACTAAACACCTAAGCCCTTTACATGAATCAGTTCATCAGAACCGTGCAATGAGGTGGGTGCTGTTATGTGTCCTCATTTTACAGATGCGGGTTATAAGACTCAGAGAGGATAAGTGACTTGCCTGAGGTCACCCAGCTAGCAAATAATGGGAATCCAGAACACAAACACGGTAGTGTGGCTTCAAAGCCGCACCCCTAAGCACTCTGCTGTTGTTATTATTGTTATAGTCTCACCCAGACCAAAGCCACTGAGTTTTTGGCCGACGTAACAGGCTGCCCCTTAATGGTGGCATTTGTGGGCAGCCATGTCCTGAGCAGACTCTCAGGACTCATAGACAGCTGGCCCTGGACCTCACTGTGCTGTCTTCACACTACAGAAAGGATCTGCTGGCCATTTCCCCTCCACAGCGTTCCCTATGATTGAAGAAAGTGCCTTGTTCACCCCAACAGCCAGTCCGTTGTGTGGGGGTGAATGTAACCACAACTCCACTGGTGACATAACGCATTTTCCCCTTTTCCGTGACAGGGGGCAAGGACACCATACTCTTCACCGACCCTGCTCTTCCCACCGTACAGAGGTCGAGATCCCCACTGCTGAAGTTTGTTGAGAAGCCCACTGAGAGCAAAGCAAATCCCAAGGACGGTAAGCCCACCTTGACTTCTCTGTCTGCCTGGCCTAGCCTGGCACGGAGGAGGGGCTCGGTGGACATCAGCCCCCTCCCCTTCCCGCAGCTTCTGTGGCACTCTTGGGTCATTCTTCGGGTTTCCTCTTTTTGCTTACATGAGTTTGTCTTATTTGGAGTTTCTGGCAGAAGAACACAGGCCCCTGCACTCTCGGCACGGTGGAGTAGAGGCTAAGAGTGAGGGCTCAGGAGTTGAGCAACTTGGGTTCCTATTCCAGCCACATGTTGTATTGGCTGTGAGAACTCGGACTGGTAACATCAGCCTCAGTGTCCTTACCTATAAAATGGTGAGATGAGGGTGCCAACCTCAGGGAAATCTTGGCACATTGCCTGGCACATGGTAAGTGGTCTGGAAATCAGTTGGAATGGAGGAAAAAAGCTTCTCTTCTGCCAGACACACTTTCTGGAAGCAAGGGGTTTTGAAGAGGATCAAAGACTCGTTTAGGGTGCCAGATGAGCCAACAGGTATGAGAGCCAGATCTCTTCCCATGTGGCAGTCTTTTTTCCCCAGCTAAACTATCCTTCGCATCTTTCTAAGATTTACTTGTCTTCTTCCTCCATCCCCAGTGTGGTTGCCAGCTTCCAAAACGGCCCCTAACAATCCCCACCTCCTGGTATTCATGCCCTTATGTAATCCTCTCCTACATTGTATCAGAGTTGGTCTGTGTGACTTATAGACTACAGTAGAAGTGATGATGTGTGAATTCTAAGGCTAGGTCATAGAAGACATGTGGCATCTGCCTTGATCTCTCTGTCTTGGATCGTTTACTCTAGAGGAAGCTGGCTGCCAGGTCATGAGGATACTCAAGTAGCCCTACATGCTAGTCATGTGGTGTGGAGCTGAGGCCATCAGCTGTGTGAGGGGGCCATCTTGGAAGCAGATTCTCCAGCCCTTGTCAAGTCTTCAGATGACAAGAGCCCAGTCAACCTTTTGAATATGACCTCATGAGAGACCATTAGCCAGAATCACCCACTTAAACTGCTCCCAGCCTCCTGAGTCTTAAACTGCTAAATTTTGAGGTAATTTGTTACACAGCAGTAGGTAACTAACACACCCAGCATGCAGGTGTCAAGGTTCTTTCCCTAAACATCTACATTTCTTCTTCATCTTTTCTTGTTCAGAGTTATGCCTTCAACCATCAACTCTATGAAAATATTCTCAAAATATTCCCCCCCCCCAACTGGGTCCATCTGAAGAGTTACAGTTCCACATTTCCCAAAGCTCATACTTTCCCACCCAAATATTCTATGGACTTCTCAAGTATGACATCACCAACTCTTCTTGCTTCCCCTTTTTTTGTCACCCTCTCAGCTTTAATCTTGGAGTCATCATTGACTACCGTCAACTTTCCTTCCTCATCTACATCAGGTCTGTAGCCAAACTCTTTCTTCAGAGTTTCTCGCCCCTCCATTCCAACCACCTCTGGCTTGGTTCAGGCCCTCTTTACTTCATCAGCAGGGCTTCTGTCCTGGTTTGCCTGCCTCCCAGACTCTCCTTACTTCATTCCCCTCTTTATCCTGCTGCTATAGGATGAAACTTCTAGATCACTGCTTTCCATCATGTTTGTACCCTGCTCTAAAATCTCGAGTGGTTCCCAGCTGTCTTCCACTTAAAATCACAACTCTGCAACCTGGCCTAGCCTATCTCTCTAACCTTCTGATTATCTGATGTAAAAACTGTGCTTTTATCAAACTGTACTAACCAGTTGGATCAGTTAGCTATTATTGTGTAACAAACCACCCCAAACTTAGAACTGAAAGCAACAACTATGTATTATTTATCGTGAGACTTTGGGTCAGTTGGGCAGTTCCGCTAATTGGGCTGGGCCTGGCAAGGCTCACTCATGCATCTGTACCACTGTGTTTTGAAGCCTGTCCAAATCACTCATAATAGTGCATAGAATGGTAAGAATGGAAGCCAGGACAGATCTGGGATTTCAACAGAGAGGTTCCCCAAGCACATGTGGGGGGAATTCTTGGAAAAAGCTCCTGATTTGGGTGGGTTCCACACTGGCCAGAAGGCAAGGCAGGATCGTTCCAGCCAGCAGCATGTGGCTGTGTGCAAGGCTGGCCTGTAACACACCATGGCCCACTGTACAGTCTGGAACATGTCTTACCTTGTGGTCATCCCATGCTGGCGTCCAGTGTCCACGTGGAGATCCGAAGTACACTGTCTCCTCTGGGCTCGCTGAGCCCATGAGTGGGTCTGGGCCTGCTAAGCTGAAATGGAGCATGAGCCTGGCTTGATTTTCACAAGGGTGGCATAAGTAATGGCCTGATTCAAATGATAGCTTCCAGAGTTCCATCATTAGCTCTCATTGTTCCAACCCAGTCCTTCCCCAGCGCGGGTGGGAACAAGGAGGCATTTATGTAGCGGCTGTCAGCGTCTGGGCTGGCCTCATCACCGCTGCATATCTGATTAATTCCAACTGAAAGCAGCTTACACTCAGGAGGACAAAGCCCATCAGAGACCAGTTAACAAAAGAAGACGAATGTCCCCTCTGGGCCAATGGGGGGGGAACACATTTTTAGGGGAGTAACAATCTTTCGTACAAAGAACTACTGTTTTTTCATCTTTTGGAGAAAATATTTTTTCTTTCCACACTATTTGTGTCATAATATGTTTGTATCAGTTAATTGCCTCATCGTTATTGATATGTGTATTGTTATTAATAAGTATTAATGATGCTAATTCTGTTTGCTAAAACAGCACAGAATAATTACTATTATTTGTAATAGTATTTTCCTATTCTAAGCTAGTTCAGAAATCTTTCTGTTATGGAAATGGCAATGCTACATGTATGTCTGTTCTCAAAAGGAAAATAAAACTCCCACAGCTTAAGAGTTAATGTTCCAGAATCACAGACTTAAAGGAAGATTTTGCTCTCACAGCAAGTAACCAGAGGTCCTAGTTGTAGCTCAACAGTTGTGACATTTTCACTAACTTCTCTTTGTCTCTTGATAATGACAGAATATACTTTTTAGATATCTTTTGGGTAAATAAAAGGGAGGAGTGGATTGGTAAATCCTACTGTTGACCCATAAACTAATCCTGGAGCCTGGCCCCTGTATCTTTCTGGTCTTGAAGCTCTGAAAATCATGCCTTTCTTAGAAAAAAATCCCTGATAGGACGAAACAATAGAATTACAGCCTTCTCATCCCCTTAGTGCAGCTGTGTTTTGACCTATAATGATGACAGCGGTGTTGCTCCCTTCCCCTTGCCCCCAAAAAAGTTAAAAAGTTCTCCCTGCTAATCTCAGAGATTTGCCATTTAAAAAAGATTCATACATTTGGAAATGAGTGGAATGTCATCTAAAGAAATGGCACAAGGCAAAGTACCAGTGACCAAAGGCCCCAGTGTAATTTAGACCACCCTCACTTAGATGTAAATTAAGGTAGAGAAGATTAACCTGACCCATAGTAAAAACACCGCAAATGGTTTAGGGGTTAGGTTGTTACGAGTAAGGTTAATTAATTTTTCAGGGGCACCAGAATATAGTATTAAGTGTCCTGGAAGAAGTAATTTCATAAGAGTAATTTCCAGAAGGAGTTTATTCATCTCACGTTGGTGGAAGATTTTGCTGCAAAAAGGACCGTAATTTACTCCTTTTGAATAAAGCTTCTTCCACTGTGCTGGAAACTTGCTCATTTTGACTCAAGGTTTTCCACATCCCCTGTACAAGCACTATACAAATTTTCATTTGCTAGTATTAAAAATATGTAGTTGCTTCCCTGAGCTACTTCAGATATAGCTTAATGCTTGTGTGAGTTAGAAATATTTTTTCTGAAAGTGGCATTTTAAGAATTTTTAGGGTAGCAACCTGGAACAAATACCATACATTCAAGGATTTCCTTTGTTTATGAATGCACGGTATTTAAATATATGTACAAATATATTCACTTATTCGTGCATTCGTGTACATGTCCATAGATGCAAACCTTTACTCAGCTGTGTATTGAGCCCCACTATAGAACATTGGCAAAGTTAATCAGGTAAGATTTTATACTTCAGGTGGTTTTTATAGGCTAAATATATATGAGTAACAATGTAAGGGTAAAAAAATAAAAAACACTAAGTTCGCTTGGAGGTCCAGACACAGCCTTGTGGGAATTTGGACACTGAGGAGATTCGTTCTGGCCGGATTTAATCCAATAGTCTTCACAGAGGAGGTGGCAGTAGAGCTGACTCTTGAACCTGGTCATCTGGATACATAAAGGAATGATAGTCGTGGAGGAATCAACCACCTAAGCAGAGACTTGGCAGGCGGGGCTGGGGTGCCATGAAGGGTCCAGTGTGTCTGGAGCGTAGGGATACACGGAGGAGAGTTGAGATGCCAGTAGAAAGGTCGATGGATGTTGGGTCATTGAAGGCCTTGAATGTCAGGCTAAGAGCTTGGGTTTTGTTCTTGAGAAAGTGGCAGACTTTGAAGGTTTTATAGCTGGAGAAAGGCATGGTCAGATTTGTGCTTCAAGCTCACGGTGCTTCTCGAATTGTCATGTGCGCCGAAATCGCCTAGGATCTTGTTAAAATGCAGATTCTGAACCAGTAGTTCTGGGGTAGGGCCCGAGATCCTGCTCGTCTGACAAGCTCCCAGGTGTTGTAGGGCCCGAGATCCTGCTCGTCTGACAAGCTCCCAGGTGTTG